TTTCCAGTACCCATAAGGCAGAAGTGCAGCTGGTCTTCACCAAGTTTTGCTGAGGACGTACAGAAATAGGTGCTGGGGACTGCTGTGAAGGCCAAGGAGAAAATTTTTGAATAGAGGATATTGGAGCAGCTTTTGTTGGGTTGGATCAGATAAGGCCAGTGACACAGAAGGAACTGAGAGATTCTAAAGGGTGACAGAAACCATCTCAAGAGGCCATACCAGGCTGCCAAGCCTTGGCTTCTAGCTGTATTCCTCTCTTCTAAGACCAACAAATACAGGACCTGGAACTAAATAGATAATCAAGTGTAATCTGGCACTCCCAAAACTGAAAAAGATCTGATCTTGTCTCATGGTTATAATTTCCACTGATCCCTTGGATACTGACCCCAGCCCAATTGGACAAACAGCTATGCTTTCTCAGGAGTAAAGTCACCAATGCCCTGTTGCAAAGCAAGCAACTAGAATGAAACTAATTTTCACCCGGGAAGTGTACCTTTCAGTTGCCTAGGCTATGAAAAGTTCCTCTCGAATGTATAGCAGATCAAATTAGTTAAATCTTTATAATTCTACCTTAACAGTTGAGTCTTTGAGACAATGTAGTCTGTAGAAAGGGAAACATAAAGTGCATAAATGATTACCACAGCAGCTGATTATACCTGAAACAGTGACTGTTCTGAAGTTAGGGCATGATTAACTGATAGAAATTTACTTTGGAATTACCTGCAGCTGAGGATGGATTCAGCTGATATGATACTCCACCTGACCCTGGAGAAAAGCAGAGAGTGTTCTCAGAGATAACAGAAAGAGTCAGACCCCACAACATGAAAATTAGAATGCAGATTGCAAGAACAGACAGGGAACAAGGAAAATAATAATCATAGTGACCTACCAAATTCCTGTTCTGAAGCAGATGGACATGAAAGACAACTCATTTAGCAATTAGACATTCTTTAAATCACAAAAGGGAAGACTACATTGCAAGGAAGAGTAAAGCACCATGTTCAATAAGCAAGTGTCAATCCACGAGATGAGATTTTGCATGCATGTGATGTTCATGCCAGGCAGAACAAAATTAAATGCTCAGATGCAAAGGCAAGATGAAGAACTGAATACCCAATCAAGAGATGACATGAGTGAATGCACTAGACTTTGAAAACTAGCAAAATGAGAAAAGGCGTAAACTAATTTTTACATTACATTATAATACTGCCACTAAGATGTTGTAATTTTAAAGCATAAGAAATACAAAAAGCATTCCAACTAAAACTTTAGGTTTTCTTCTCTACAGAAGCTGGAGACTTCAGCTAAAGCATGAGAATTTATTATCTTAGTGGAAATAAATAAATAAATATTAGGAGAGATAGTTTATACAGTCAGCAAGATGCACAAGTTAAACCAAAATTTTATCCACACCTGAGTCCACCACAGCATCCCAACGTTAATGCTGTTATGATGTAAAGGAAGTAAATAGAACAGCCACAACATTACATGCTTTACAAAATGTCTGGTGTGATAAGAGCTAAAAAAAAAACCAACCAAAGACATCAATAAAGTGAATAGGAAGCTAGACTTCAGTGCCAAAGCATCAGAGCTCACAGCTTTAATAAAGAGCTACTGAGAAATGAAGTGAAACGTCTATTTGTATACGCTCAAGAATCCAAATGGATGATTAAAAAGAGCTCAGTCCCCAGACCTTTCAGTTGGAGCTATGTTCTTCACATGGCAGAAGAAGATATATGCCTAGTATTTAATGCTCAAACACTCCCTTGGGACAAATAGTAATAATATTTTTTTAAAAGTCTTAATAGATTATTCATATTATTCTGTTCAATAGTAAATTATACAACTACCAGGCTATCAGCTGAGAATATTGCTTAGGAGCTAATCCACAAGTGGACAAATATTAGTTTCCTCAAGAACAGGAACTGAGAAGTCTGTCAGAGATATTTACTATATGTGATATAAGTGTGTGGACATGAAGCTGATACGGCAGAGCCTCTGGCAAATCATGCCCACAACTGCATCTGTCTGCTAGAAACAGCTAGGGAAGTAAATAGACAATGAAAAATGAGAATACTGCATCTGACTGAAGTATCATTTAATTGACACAGAGAAAAACTGAGATGATTGCAAGCTGTTGAGTTGGAGCAGTTCAAGAAATTACCATTCCACCAGCAGGACTTTAATATCCCCTTAATAAGGTGCTACAATGGTGATGCATGTGCATCTCTATTCTGTGCAGGCAACACGCAGTACTCCCAGGTGGTCTGATGAAGCCACTCTGAGAGCCTGTGCTGAGCAGTGACCTAGCCCAATGAGGGCAAAAGTGATGAAACTACATATTTGTAGTAGATAAAAAAAGAGCCTAAGACATTCATCAGTGCTTGAGCGAGCTCTGAGGTGAATTCCAGGCTAATCTGTCTGGTTTATAACCTGCAGTATAGACATGCCTGTTCTACATGATGGGACCATCACAGAACCCTGCAGAATATGTCATTCCATACAGCACTTCTAGAAAGAGGAATGAGGGTAGGAGATTAAACTTTTAAATAAAAAAAAAAACTTAAAAACTGTTCAATGAATGCGACTGAAGCAGCAAATCTAGAACTACACTACCTACATAGAACTGACTTCTTACACAAAGCAGTCCAGAATTCAGAAACATGACAACTGAACAAAAACATGAGACCAACAGCCAGTTCTGATAGCCAGGGGGCTAGCAAGAACAGTTTCAAGAAAAGAATTCAAAAGAAACAAAGGAAAAAGAAAAAAAAATTAAAAAAAAAACCCAAACAAACCCAAGGAAAAAAAAACCACAAAAAAACCCACCAAAATTTAAAAATACTTCCATGTCAAAATACAGCAATCTCTCTTTCAAAGTGGCAGACCACAGGGGAGAAGCTCTCACTTTTGGATACTGAACGGCAAAGAAGCATAAAGCATTTCAAATAATGTTGAATATAGAGGCAACCAAATTGAGGATATGTCAGCGCCATCTGGGAACAAAAGCTTGCCTCCAGAAAATGAGCAGCGTCCCCAGTGCACTTTTACACAGGCCAAACCATCTTTTCATTACAAGTGACATCTTCATTTGTAGTGAGTTTATGCTCTGTGTCTGTGAGTTTAATCTTATTACTTCATCCTGCTGTCACAGTTGATCAAATAGCAAGGCTGAACTGGGGGATTAAATTGTTATTTTTAAGTCTAGAGAATGCGTTTTAAAAACAAACAAACAAAAAAAATGTCAGGGCAATCCAGAGAAATATTGCTCAAAAGGAGCACCAGTAGGACCTTGGTATACAGAGCTGTCATCCAAACTTGTATGTTCCTCAGCTCCTGGTGCAGTGCAGCACCACAAAACTCTGCAGTAATGAAAGGAGAACGGAAGAACGATAAAAGGCATGCAAAGGCCAACACCTGCAGTAGAGGAGAGGCATGAGAGCTCCCATCAGCAGGGAGAACTTTCAGTGCCAGGGGAAATCATGCACTGGGAGGCAAGCAGCTGTGGAGGCAAAGCAGCTGTGGAAGACAGTGAAGCACACGCTGTTTGCAGCAGACAACTCAGCCCATGTAAAGGGCCATTGACTACACCTAAGATCAGTTAAAGGTTGACCTCACTGAAAGATGAGACCGAAGAGAGAAAAAGAAAGACTGATGGGAGCACTGACAAAAGCACCTTCTTTGTGTGGTGGTAAAACAATACAAGTAAGGAGCATGATCTGGTCACTGCTCTGTAATAGCCTACAACCACGTGTTTCTGCTATGGGGTCTTCTTCAGTGGGGTATGATCTTCCATATCCTTCTTTCTCCCTCACTGCCACAGCCTGAGCCATAGAGTGGGGCAGTAGAGCTTTGACTATGCTGCCAGAGCACCACATAGCTGAATGTCTCAAGCGTTCTGCAAATATCTGGAAACTTTTGCCTTAAAGGTGATAATACAACATGTGAAATTGAGATCACAAGTATTTTGTAAATGGGTAAACTGAGGACATGAGGCTAAGTCACTTTCCAAGGGCCACACGTGCGCAGAGCTAGAAACAAGAATAAAAGAAATTATGCCTAAAAGGGTCCATGAGATAGAATAGCATTGAGTATATTTTACTTCTTAGTAGTCTCTAACAAATCCTTGTAATAAATTGCAGTGATCTTCCTGAAACCACTGAAGCTGCCCCAGTTTCCATAAGGAGCAAACTGGCCTGTTAATTTTCTGATTTCCCTTTTCTCTCCTTGTCAAAAGAAAAGAAACCCCAAAACCTTTTCATGCATGGGATCCCTGAGGATACAGTATTAAGCTCTGCAGGTACTGAAATTCAGAGGAGGGCACCTGCCTGCTTTACAGGATTTCAGGCAAAAAAATGTTTTTAACACACATTGATGTTTTTTTTTTTTTTACTTCAGGCTGCTGTTGAAATAGGAAAATGCAGATAGCCCAACCCTTCATGTAACTGGTAAGCTCTCAGGGATTACAACAATATTTAAAATAGTTGAGTGCCTTTTCATCTGAAGTCTTCATTTCATTCATGCAGCCCCGTCTTGTTGCTCACCTTTGCTATGTGTGGTATGTGAAATAACTAAAGGTTAAGCAGCAACTCAAAGAGCCCTTAGCAGCCACGCTGCTCAATCAGTTTGGCTCTGGAAATATTCAGCCAGAGTTGGATCAGTTGTACAAGGAGCCTGCAAGCAGAGTTACATGATTATAAACATGGTATCAGAAGACACTGAGGAAAACAGAACAGATGACAAAGGCACAATCTGCTTGCTGTTAACAGTGCCTCTGTAACATCACAGGCTATCTCTAAGCTATATTTTCCACTGCTTTGCCAGCTTGCAAAACTTTTAATGGAACAAGTTTTTCTGGCAGAAGAACACTGATTTTTATCTTTAATGAGCAGCCTCTCTATCATTTAGCTCCAGGAAACAGCTTCCTGGTTGTAAACTGCCTGAGAGCGCTGACAGCCACTCAACTTCAAAAGCAGCCAGGAAAACCTTTCTCGCTAACTTTGGGAAGGAATTCAAAAATGCTGAAAGGTGCAGATGATGTTGTTATGGAGCATGAGGACTCTGCTTCCCAACATGGAGAAATGACAAGCTGGGATATCAATGACATCAAACTTCCCCAGGTATGTGTCTGTCTTAGAAATTTATGAAGTTCTGACCAGTCATCTCCACCGCTGATCTTCAGTGCTTTCTCAGTCATCTATGCTTCATTGCCTTTATTCTCTTTGCCACATTGAGGTATGGGACAGTGCTTTACTGGAAAGCTAGAAAATCTTGAGCAAATACTGATGTTTCCATGCATTGTTCCTTAAATGTATTACTGAAAGACCTGCTGATACTTGAAAAATAGCAATGCTGCAGATGCGTTGCCTTTCTTATCCATTGGTGGATGAGGCGCAGAGAAAGCAAGGGTGAAAAAAAATCTCCTGTTGTAAGTACTGAATTAGAGATGTCCAGGACTTGGTTTTTGCCCTGGGTAGTGTTTTATGAGAAATTAGCACAGCATGCATAGCTGCTTCCAACTCCAGTTGCTCAGCCTTGCTGCAGATCGAGCATGCAGGCAACACTCCTTCTATGAACACCTAGGAAAAGCTTGCTTTGTTTTTGCAGAGATTTGCTGAGAGGCAGAATAGTGATCCATCCATCCCTCAGTCCTTTTCTAGTTCTCTTATCCAAAAATTTCAACCATGCTCTCCACTGAAAGCCCACAGCACCCTGCATGCAAACATCGTCTCCATGTCCCTCAACCCAGCACACTTGTGCCAGATTCTTCCTGCTGCGATCCTTCAGCATGCAGTTCTGCTTTCACCTCCTAACTCTGCCTTCTTACCTCATCCCAGCCTTTTCCCTACTATGCCACTGCTGTTCACGCAAAAGCTCCATGTTCCAGACTGCCTTCTCCCCTACCCTCCACTCCAAGGTCACCTTCACCTGCATTTCAGCCTGGAGGCTTCCTCCACGCCTTTCCCTACACTATCTGATGGCTCTAGAGGGAGCACAGGAGTTTTTCTCCTTTCAGTGGATGCTCCTGCTGCTGCAATGGCTCTCAGTGGCTGGGATCAGCAATTTCAAGGACATTCCTAACAAGTTTTATAATCCTACAAGACTTTTTCCCTCAAAACCATAACAGATATGTTAGGTGTTTTACAGCTTACTGCATTTTACTGTGTTGACTGTACCAAATGAGGTGATGTGTTTGATCCCTTGTTTGTTTGCTGTTTGGGTTTTTCCCTTTGAGTTTTATTTTAATTGTTCCTTGCAGTGTTGTCTTTTTGTTTTGTAGCTTAGTCCACAGCAGTGAAAATAAAACCTGACCAGAATGACAGGTGTCTTTGTTTTGGACTTCAGAAAAGTCACTGTGGAAGGCTGTCACAGCGAAAGGCCAAAACGAGCGAAAGGCCAAAACGAGCCAAAGTCCAGAACTAAACACCCACTTAAATGTGGGCATAGCCTCCACCTGATTCAGTATTTGCCCTTTTTCCAGTGAACTGAGCCAAATCAACACAGATGACTCAGTGTCACAGTGCTGCAAACAGCCTGAAAGGTGAAGCAGGATGTCTGCTATAAAAGGCTAACAGTAGCTAGTCAGGTGATGACTGCTGCCTGCAAGGAAAGTATCTGCTATTTTACGTCAGGCACCTCACCTTTCTCTCCTAGCCAGGTCCTGTACTGAGCTGCACCCGTGGGTGAGTTGGAACAGCCTCCCAGCCAGGCTTTCCTGATGCTTTGGGGCTCACAGGGAGCCATGAGGAGCTGTGGATTTTCTGCCTTCTCTCCACTGTTCCCTCCTGCCAAAAAGCATCACCTGACTGGGTGCTGGAAAACCAGGTCTGCTGGGCTCTTGCGCATGCTCTTCTTTTCCTCAGCCTAAAACGTGGCTTGCTTTGGTCTCTCCACAGGATGTAAGACAGATAGATGGGTTTCAAGAATGGCCAGATTCCTACGTAAAGCATATCTATAGCTCGGAAGATAAAAATGCACAGAGGCACCACAGCAGCTGGGCAATGAGAAACACCAACAACCACAATTCTCGCATCTTAAAAAAGTCCTGCCTTGGAGTGGTGGTCTGTGGCAACAACTGCTCAACCTTGGATGGGAGGAAGATCTACTTAAGACCAGCCATATGTGATAAAGCAAGGCAAAAACAACAGCGTGAGTATGAACATGGCTGTTCATTGTATGGCAGTCGTAAGTGATCACAACACAAAAATCAAGCTACAGGATACCCTTGGGATTATCCAACCTTTCAGATGTCATTCTTTATATTCAAATGCAACTCTTGATTTTGGAACAATGCATTTACATTTCTTACTTTTGGGCCAGGAGTTGTTTGCTTGGTTGTTTTCTTGATTTTTTCTTTTTTAGTCTCTTTTTCTGATGGTTGGGGATTGATTTCCAGCCTTCTCTGGCCCATGAATGAGGCTACTGAGCAGTGCAGGCAGCTTCCTGCTGTGCTGCTCCTACTGAGTGTAGCTTCACTATTGCATGGGCCCAAGAGTAACTCAGGAGACAACTCTTGCAGGAAAGAAGTTGCTCATAAATTCTGATGACTGGAAAAAAGGCTTCATAGTCATGTCACTGGAGCAACACAAAGAAAACAGAGAACATAACCTGCAAGCACATTTTTAATGAGACCATTCCAAACAATTGTTGACTGCTCAGTAGAGCTAGCACATACTGATTTCTGGATCTGATGAGCATTTTGGCTAAAGAGAAGTATTGCTCAAGCACTTACTGAGGTCAGAATGCTGTCCTCTATCAAAATCAGGCAAGAACACATGAAATTCCGGATGCTGCCAGGTTAAAAAAAAATAAAACAGACCATGATAATACATGAAAAAGTCATACTAAAGCTATAATAGAAATAATTTTTGCTAATTATGTTTACTACTGGAACAGAATAAAGGCAATAATTAGTTTGCTTATATTGATTTTTGGTTACATTTGAAATTGTTTTGCATATTTTTTTCTCAGCGTAGTTTCTGAGCCCCAGAACAGAAGTTGCAGTCCACCACCAATGAGCCATTGTACCACACAGGATTCATCTGACTGGTGTGGTATAGAAAATATTTCCTATTATTTTTGTTCCAGGGAAATGCTGTCCAAACTGCAATGGGCCCCTGAGGCTCCTTTCCTGCCGAGGCCATGGGGGTTACCCAGTTACCAACTTCTGGAGGCATGAAGGACAATTCATATTTTTTCAGGTTGGTGTAAAATTACCTTACGCTGTGCAAGTTAATTGTAATTTTAAAGACTGGTTTTTAAGATTGATTAAGGACAGGTTTTGTTCAAATAAATAAAGGTCATTGAATATGACAAGATCAAATGACTGTAAGGAGAAAAATTTTCTGAGTGAGACAAGGTCCCCGAGAAGCCTGATCTAACCCTGAACTTAATCCTGCCTGAGCAGGAGGTTGAGCTAGACCTCCAGAGCTCCCTTTCAACCTAAATTAGCCTGTGCTATTATGATTCTCCAGCATATTAGATTTTTCACTTAAGCTCCCATGAAAATCTCTTGATTTTGAATCACTTTGCCTCAGGAACACAGAAACCAACAAAGTCTCAGAAAATCAGAAACGCCATGTTCTCTCAACCCTTTCTCTCAGGCACCATGAATAAGCACGAGCTTATCTTAGAGCAGGAAATGGTTCTACCCAAGGGAATGTGTATGGAAAATGCCATCTCTGTGTTATGTGTAACTGATATATGGAAAACAGTGTATGCAAGTGTTTAAATGCTGGGCACTATTTCTGGAAGATGTAGTTGTAGTTTAGTACTATAACCATTGAACTCTCCTGTTTTCCAGTCTTTCACTTATGTGCAGGTTAATAAAATTAATTCTCTGCAGAAGCTAAAGGAAATTAATGTTCTGATAAAAATATTTGAAGTGCGAGGAAGATGGAAACGACTGCAGGGACACTGTAGCCAGGCTGCAGAAGACCCAGTGGCTTCAGCTGGGGCTCTAGTGTGGGAGTCTTTTCTGTACATAAATATGGTGCACTGGTTTTATGATTTCAGAGAACTTCTACCCCATCACTCTTCATCTGGGATACATTTGTTACTTGAGCTCACCTTAAATAGGTCTTACCATAGAATCATAGAATGGTTTGGGTTGGAAGGGACCTTAAAGGTCCCCTTGTTCCAACCCCCCTGCCATGGAGAGGGACACTTTCCACTAGACCAGGTTGCTCAAAGCCCCGTCCAACCTGGCCTTGAACATTTCTAGGAACACGCCAGCCACAGCTTCTTTGGGCAAAGAATTTCTTCCTAATACCGTATCTAAATTTCCCTTCTACCAGTTTAAAGCCATTCCCCCTTGACTTGCCACTACATGCCCTTGTAAAATGTCCTTCTCCACCTCTCTTCTAGGCCCCCTTTAGGTACTGGAAGCTGCTCTAAGGTCTCCCCTGAGCCTGCTCTTTTTAGGCTAAGCAACACCAGCACTTTCAGCCTGTCTCCATTCCAGAGGTGCTCCAGCCCTCTGACCATCTTCATGGCCTTCCTCTGGCCTTACTCAAGCAAGTCCACACCCCTCTTGTGTTGGGGCCACCGGAGCTGGATGCAGTACTGCAGGTGGGGGTCCCACAAGAGCAGAGTACAGGCGGACAAGCCCCTTCCTCCATCTGCTGGTCACACTTCTTTTGATGCGGCCCAGGACAGGGCTGGCTTTTTGGGCTGTGAGCACACATTGCCTTATTAAATACAAAGTGTTAAATCAGGCCATATGTGTGGGTTTGGCCTGTGCTACAAATTCTATTCCCTTAAGATTAATAACAAGGTTGTTTCTAACTTTAATATACCGTAATTACTTTCTAAAGTCCAAAGGAGCTCATGACCATCCACGTCCAGAAACAAAATTAGAAGCAGAAGCAAGAAGATCAACCCAAAAAGCACAGACAGCTTTTTCTCCATCTTGTCCAAGATTAAAAAGAATACAGGAACTTGAGGTAACTTTTATTATTGATCAATGAAATTGTGGGTTTAGTGATCCATGGTTCAAGCATGGTGGAGGTTGTCTGCTTTGGGTCTGGGTGAGATCAGGCTTACATCTCCACATTCTGCCTCCCTGTGATCAGTCCAAGAAGGAACAGGGCTATTCTCAGCATCCTTCTCTGCTCAGCACTGTCATCCACTGCCAGCACATCCTGCCTGGAGCCTCTTTGGGCATGGTGGCAACATGGCATTACATCTATACTGTTAAACAAAGCAGGGCTGGAGGGAAAGCTCAGTCATGTCACTATTCTCATGGTCCCTGCCATGGATTTGGCCAGTGCTAACTTGTGCTCCAAGACAACATGCCCTGGAACAGGTCAGGAGAACAGCACGTGTCAGTGACCGTTTCCTGGCAGATTTTGGACCAGGTTGCATCAGGTTTGGGTCCTGTCACTGGACACAGCCTCCCTCCAACCCTAACTATTCTATGATTCTGTGATTCTATGTCTTCTTCCTTCCCTTCCTACAACAGCTTCCCAGTATTTTCACTTTGAATCATGTGGGAGTAGGAACAGACCAAAGATGTCTTAAATACCTAATTATAGAGCCTGCTGTTCAGCTGGTCTGACTCTGTGCAGTTGGAGTGATACCATTTAATCTCAGCTGGTTTCCCTTTCATGGCTCTCCAGCAGGTTCTTTGGGGGTAAATAACCCATCATATTTGTGTTCCGCCAAGATTGGCTGCAATACGACTAACTCGGGAGTCTGATTTGACACATAAAATCTCTGTCCCTGAATCTGCAAAAAGTCTTCTGTAAAGATTTGATTTTAATGTGCTCACAAGAGACAAGGGAGGAGAAAACTGTGAGCCCAAAATAGAGCAAGTGATACGCAGGATGTTTTCCTTACAGCATCAGTGGGTCTTTAGCTGAAGGTGGGCTGGGTCCTACATCAGGTTGTTGGAATTTCTTCTTATGGTGAGTGGAGGACAGCTGAAAAGAGCTTGGCTACTCTGGCAGTCAGCAAAATCACTATAATTAAATGGATGCAAAAGTAGAATTACAAAGAAGAGAGACCTGTAGGTACTCATCAGAAATGGCAGCAGGGAGTGAGTGCTCTGAAAGGAAGTAAAGTTTGCAAAATCATAATCCAATAATTAGGGCAATTAAAGAAGTTGTGAAATATCCAGAACAAAAGACCCAGAAGGATAATTCTTGTCCGCTGCTCCCTCCCTGAAGGAAATTTCTGTTTGTGGGGTAAAAAAATGTAAAGACAGGAAAGTCTATTAGTTAGAAATACAGGCAGAGTCTTGAAAATCTGAAGCATAATATTATTGTAGTGAAAAGATCACCTCAGAACAATCAGTTTAAAAAATCACACTTAGCTTTTACAAACTTCATAGGAAAGAAAGGAATCCGTGGTGTCAAGTGTACTCGCATAATTTAATATTCAGGTGTTTATTTAATATATGCTGGCAGCAGGAGCTGAGGGCTGTGAATGCGAGGTCTAACAATTCTTTCAGTGTAGAACAGGCTTTGAGCAAAATCTGGTCAAACAAACCCAGATCCGTGGTCTGCTGTTTGGTTTGCCCCTAAAGCCCACTGGCACTCCCCCACATGGAGGTTCTGCTACAGCACCTGCTTCGTTACCTGTATTAATGGAACGCTTTCATGAGTGTCTCATACAGGACGGATGTTACGTGTTGCCACAAGACCCCTTGTTTTGCTAACCCATGTCATGCTTTCCCAAGTCTCTGACAGGTGCAGTGCCGACGCGGGAGGCTTTGCCTTTACTTCTTTCCAAGCCAGACATTTCCTCGCTACCGGATAATTTTGGGGGACACATAAGCAAAAGCTCGCGGGAGTCGGTGCTAGGCAGCTGCTCCGGGTGGCTGCCATGCTCCAGAGCTGAGGAGGATGGGGGCTCCAGAGAGGTGCTGGCCTGGAGCAGGAGCCCAGCCCTCAGGAGCAGCCCCAGCGCCGGGAGGCCTGGCAGCGGCCCTGCTGTCCCCTGCACAGCCCCTTCCCCCCAGCACTGCACCCACCCCAGCACCCCACACACCCTAACCATGGAGAAGGATGGACATGGCCCCTTCACGCATAGCACTGGTCCCCTGGGGGATGGATCCTGCGAGGACAAATCCCCACTGACCTACAACGGCTGCTGCCTCCTTCCCCTGCCCTACCCTGTGCCTCAGGGAGGTCCCTGCCCCATGGCGAGTGGGGCACAGCACCACCAACAGCTCTCAGTGCCTCCGAGGGGAAGTGAAGGACATGATGGTGAGGGAGGGCGCCACGTGGGTCTCAACTACTGCAATGACGATGTGTTTTTTAACCTGTACCCATTACGGTGACTGGTTTTAAATGTCCTCTCCGTCTCCTCTTTTGGCAACAGGCCTAATTCTCTATCCCTGTTGCAACGCAGATGTCAAAGTGCTACCGTGCTGATTCCCGCTTTGGCTCCTCTTGCAGGGCTTTCATACCTGAAGACTTGTCTTTGTTCAGGTTTTTTTAAATGTTGTATTTTCCCCCACTATTTCATTGGTCTAATAAAAGGTATCAGCTCTGCTGACAGGCTGCCTTGCTGCCATTCCGTTTTGGTAGCATTTCAATCCCCCTTGATAGGCAGTCTGTTCAAGCCTGCGGGACTGTGGAAGGTGCAGACAAATGACCTCAAGGACCACAATGTCCCGTGTGCCCCTCTGCACTCCTCCAGCTCCTTTGGGCAGTGACATTAAGTTCTTCCACTGCACTAGCCCTGCAAAAGTATTGTGTAGAATCATCACAGAATGGTTTGGGTTGGAGGGGACCTGTATTTCACCTAGTTCCATCCCCTCTACTGTAGGCAGGGATATTATTCACCAGACCAGGTTGCTCGAAGCCCCCTCCAACCTGGCCTTGAACACTGCCAGGAATGGGGCAGCCACAGCTTCTCTGGGAACCTGTGCCAGGTCCTCAACACCCTCATAAAAGTTTTTCCTCTTAAGTCCAATTTAAACCTACCCTCTTTCAGTTTTAAACTGTTGCTCCTTTTCCTGTCACTTACAAGCCTCAGTAAAAAGTCTTTCTTTGTATTTCTTATAAGCCCCTTTCATATACCCTTGTAATAAGGTCTCCCCAAAACCTGCTCTTCTTTAGGCTGAACAACCCCAACTCTCTCAGCCTGTCTTCACAGGAGAGGTGCTCTCATCTTTGTGGCCCTCCTCTGAACCTGCTCTAGCAGTGTTTTTCTGCAGGGCTGAACCCAGTTTCATGCAACTGTATGTTCAAGGTGCCTTGCTGCTTTTTCCACCCACTTGGCATTTCTTTCATTGCAAACTATAACAAATCCTTCAGAATCTTTTTCCATACATCACCTCCTTTTCTGACCGTACCATAAGCTATATTTCAGCAGGATCTACCAGTTCCCTACATTTGTTTAAAAAAGTAAGTTGCTGAATATGTATTTCTTGCCTGAAGTTAGTGGCCAGCTCAGAGATCTTTAGCAGAGTATCCTTTATCTTTTCCCATAACTCACATCTGCATAACTTCCCTGCTTGACTAGCCTCTGCTGCTCTCTGGACTGTTTTAGGGACTGCTATGCCTTGCCCCGCAAAGGGAGGCAGTGACATCCCTGCTGCCACCTCTGCAAGAAAGACCTGAGGGATGTTCTGTCTGTAGCCATATTTCATGGCTGGCTCCTTTAACCACAATGAAGATAGCCTCAGTTCCATGGTCCATCCAGCTGTTGGTCCTGACTGTGTCCTACCCGGCCTGCAAAAGCAAGTTGTACCCTGAAGGTCAAGGCAAAATACAACTTTTATTGGAATGAGTCTGGGAGGACAGTATTACTAGACAAGTGGCAATAAAAACTTCACAGTACCTCAAACTGTGGTGTACCTTGTGTCCATCAAACACATTCAGTCTTACAACTGTTTTGTGGGGTTTTTTTGCTTGTTTTCATCTTTTTAGATTCCCTCTATTTAAAAAAACTTTAGAATATATTAGTTACTAGGGAAATGACTCTCATTGCAGAGGGTGGAGTTCAGAGACATTTATGAGACAAGAACAAATTATATTGGTAGAGTGTTTCAAAATATTTACTGCAATTTGTGAAACAGGGGATGTGTAGTGATTTATGTGGAAAAAATCTAAATGTAGATCACAAAATGACAGTCTGCTGTTTTATGTGAAGGTCAGTTCACCAAACTTTCATTTAGTTTGTGAGTTCCTCTCACGCTAACTTTTATGACTTTCATGGTGATTCTTTGGATTAGTAAGTCAGAGAAGGAAACTTTGATCAAGGGTAATAACAACCTCCACTTCTAAGACAGAAAAAGGGAAATCAACAGGAGCTATAAGTGCTTGTGCTTTGGGAGGTGAGCTGCGGGACTACAGGGACAGACAGCTCCCCTGGGGCTTCATGTCCAATAGCCAAGATTCCTCTGCAACTGCCAAACCGGTCACACCAGCAAAAGACGGAGCAGAGCATGGACCCTGCCTCCTCTCATCCTGTCCTGTCTCATCTCGCCTTTCCTCTGAATTCCTTACCTGTTCACTGCACCACTGCCAGCACCACCTTTCAGCAATGGTACCATACAGATGTGAGGCTCGGGGGCTCCTCGGACAGTGTTCCCACACCTAAGTACCGTCAGTTCTCTTTACACCCACCAACCCCTTCCCCTGATTTTAAAATCTTCCAGCAAAGGCAATTTGATAGCCAGTCACATAACCTGTTACATGGCTTCACTGTCCCAATCCCAACTGTTACCATTTTTACTTCACATTTGATTTTCTTTCCCAATGATTGACCATTTCTCCAAATCTTTGAAGATGTGTACTGTGAAACTCAGTAGAATTTTCACAGGTTTCCTAAAGGACTCTTACCACCAGACCTCCCTAAAAGCCAATTACTACCAAACCTGCCTTCCTGCCTGAGACGCAGGAAACTTTTTGTTTGTTTGCCTTTAAGTCTGAACCAAAAGGAAACCTATTCCTGTGAGCACAGCTCCACTTAGCAGCTACCTGCCATAGCAGGGCTGTATCTTCTTGCAGCTTGTGATCTCCTGCACCCAGGACCATCCCGCAGTTTGGGGGGACACCCAGTACCCATTCATGCAACATTCATCGCACCCAGTAAGTTTCCAAAAGGAACATATTTCAGGTTCAAGGAGGACATGACATTCCTTTTTAAAAAGGAGGAAACTAAGACTTCATGATTTTTCTAGGGTTAACTGCAGAAAGGCTTTCCAGATTCATAAGCTGCCAGGGTCAGTTCAACCTTTCTGCGTTCTTGCAGTGACTCCTGCGCTGGCAGCAACTTCCTCCACTTCCTCCACCATACAACCAGCACAGTGGGTCGATATAGTGCCAAACTTATATCTGTTTGGCTCAAAATATGAAGACACCAATCTCAGCTCTGACCTTCTCAAAAATGACTTTTTTGATATGTGAAAAGAAACATAGGCACATTGCTGCTTCAGGCCTCTTTTAACCAGCTCTAAGGTATTGTGCTCAACTGAGTGATAAGAATCAGAGGTGAAAGATGGCACTAGATGCATTATCCTCTGCAATTTTAAGAAAATATACTGAGCAAAAACATTATTCAGGGTAGCTTGCTGAAGAAACACCAATTGGTATGCGAGGATCCACCCACAGGTAACCCTGTAACCTTTTTCTCTGCTGCAGAAAATGTTTTTTTTGCGAGGCACAGCTGCAGTAAACTATCAGGAAGGCAGTAGAGGTGCAAGGAGGCCAGGATACGGATAATTACACCAGCAAAATGTTTTGTTCTGGCTTATCATTGTTTCAGATGGCTCTAGCTAATGCTAACGTTTACAAAAATATCCCTACATGGCATTGATTCCACACTTGATGCTTTCCCAAGGTCTTACCTCTGAAAGCACTAGCCTTAATACTTAAGGGGTAATTCTTTAGGAGTAATCTCTGCACTTTTCTGAAACAAGTATTTTTAGCTACAAGGGCTCTTCTGAGGCCATCAGAGAAGCACAGCAATGTTGCTCAGAACGATACATTAGCCAGACTGTATCTTACAGAAACAGTATGGGTGCTTTTATGACTCATACAGCATTTAAAGATGAAATCTAGACATATAATCAGAAGAAGCTATCTTAATAAATAAAAGGCAGCAGCTGGACACCTCCATTTTTTTGGCAAATTTACCCTCAGATTATCATTGTGAGAAAGGGAAATGCTTTTGTATAAGTCATACCAATGGGGAGATGAGAAGGCAGAACAGGGATGGGACCCACACCTCTCCAGCCTTGGGCACACATACCCTGCATTTCTTCAGGCCTTCCATTCCTCAGGGCCTCTACCTTTGCATGTGGAAAGAGTTGCAGGTCAGACTGAGCACAGCCAGATGTTTTCACTTTCAACCCCTTGTACAAAGCTCCTGCCCTTTGGTAGACTGAAGCTATAACTGCTTTATATGAACTGCAAAGTTACAGACTATTTTCTAAAATACGGTTTTAAATGCATTCTCTATATTTTTAGACAAAACAAGTGTGTCAAACTGCTGGCGGCAGGAAGGACTCCAGCTGAGGAAGCTTTAGGAGGTATACTCCTAAGTAACTGTATAAAGTTTTTTCTTTCTCACAGCCTTTGGGAGGTTTACTAATCCATTTGGCTGGTACTCCGAGAAGTTTTGCTCTGCTTCCCCTCAGTGTAATAATTTGGCCCTTTCTAAGTAATTATGGCCAAGGAGTTTGAAAGGGACTATCTAATGTGTTCTACTTTATTGCAAACAAAATGTAGATGTGGTCCCTGTGGTGAATCTCAGCAGATACATGGCCCATCTGTGACAGGAACAGGCCTTATGTGGCAGGGTAGTGACTGGCGTGGGGACTGATTTGGAGAAAACTCCAGAACAAACTCGCCAACAGAGTTTCAAGTTGAGAAGCAGGTATTCTTTATTGCGGCGCCAGGAGACACGGGGGATAGCTCCTCCAAACGTGTGTCCCTGAATTGCTACACAGATCATCCTTTTATGGTCACTGAGCATATTACATCATTTTCCAAAAAGTTTCTGGCATGCATACAAAAATATGGTCATCTTTAAGGGTCGTTTACTTTTCCCAACAAGCTTAATTAACATTACAGACATAGCAATCATCCTGTCCTTTTACTTATCAGTTAGTTTATCTGTGCCCACCCTGGACATCTGCTAGTCCCAGCTACTCCCCTTCCCCAGGTCCTGTCCTTCTATTCTGCTTTTCTCACACCTTTTGTACTGAGGTCCTGAGGGCCTGTGTCCTGGGTTCAGCAGTAGCAGTCAATTTTCTCCTCCTTGGTAGCTGGTGCAGTGCAGTGTTTTGACTTTCAGCTCGGGAACAGAGCTGATAACAACGATGTTTTGGTTTGGCCAAGGACTCTGTGAGCCTCATGCTCTGCCAGGGAGGAGGGGAAGCTGGGAGGAAGCAGAGACAGGACACCT